GGGGGCGGTGGACAAACCGTGGTCACCACGCACACCGTGGTTTCAGGCAGGGAAACATACGGAAGCTGCGTGTCGCATGCCTAATGTTGGAGCGGCGGTCACTTGCGAGAGGCGGCGGAGGTGGCGGAGGTGGCAGCTTCGGCGGTGCATACTCATTCCACGGCCATCCTCCCTCCGCAGCTGGTTCCGGCATGATGTGGCACTGGGTGGCCCGGAGCGAGATGTGATGAAAGTCATTTTTTGCCTAGAGCCAGCTGCCGTGAATGCCTGTGCCTGATCCGAGTCCTCGTCTGGTGGCTCGGGCCACTGGCTCCAGGCAGGGTGCAGCCAAGCACTTCAAGCCAGTTTGGACCTGTCTGTCTGTTAGCCTTTGCTCTACTTATCATCAAGTCAGCACTATAGACTCTAGACATGAAACAGGTCCACACGCACGGCAACCTGCCTTTCGACTGCTTTGCCGGCGTCACGGTCCGGCCCCAAGGACAGAAAGCTTGGCAGGGTGGATGGACCCTGTGCAGCGCGCGCCTCGATCACAGCCCCTGGCCCTGTCGCAGTGCTGTTCAGGCGGGCTGGTCTGGCGGGAAGAAGCACTTCTGCTGCCTGCACTTTGACAAGGGCTGCTGAGCAGGCCCCAAGCGCAACAGCCTTGTCCCATTCACCCGGTGGCCCGGTGGGCTTTCACCTTGTCCCAGGTCTGAAGCGCTCCGGCTTCGCCCACTTGCAAAGGCCGGTGGCGGATGCTCGTTTCCTAGTAGCCAGAGTCCCAGCAGATGTCCAGTGCAGGTTTGTGGGCGCGGCACCTTTCCCTCGGAGCTGCCTGAGTTTTATGTGGATTACTTCAATTTTTCGGACTCTTCCGGATTCTGGCCTTTGTGCAAAAATGGTCCGTACTCGTGGCAGTACCCTGATGCAGCAGGCTGGTTGTTTAGGCGCCAGAATCTCCTTTTCACCTTCACATTTTTGGCCAGAGCATGATGCATCTGCTCAATGCCGCTCTTTCAGACATCGTGTCGACTGAGCACCCATCATCCCCACGCAAGCTTGTTCTTCTGTGATAAGACGTGCGGGAATTACGCACGGAGACTGACAGCACTGTAGACACGCGCACGCTGTTCGTCCTCTTCCGTTCTCCTAGAGACGGTGGAGACGAGTTGGACGAAGCTGAAAATGGCCGCTGCTGCCGGCTTTGTGCTTTGTGAAATGGTGATGCGTCGATGTCCAAAACCGCGAGCTGATGCAAAAGCTCCCCTTTTGTCTGGATCTGGCTCGAGCCTATGGCCTCCAATCCTCAAAAGTTGGCCCCTGTAGGACCATGCCATGTCACGACCGGCCTTGTCCTTCATTTCCTATTCCAGGCTGGTGGCCAATGCTGTCAGTGTTCAGCGACTTGCATGTTGTGGCAGCAAGATGTAGCAGCGTAGCATTGGTCGGATCACTGCCTGCAGGGAATCAGGCAAATGCTCCTTGGTCCTCAGGTATGATGACCAGGCAGCCGGCAGCCGCCTCTTGGATCTTCCCGCTGCTGGCGATGCCGACATCGCTATGACTCAGTCCATGGTGAAAATGTCTACATACTTATATCACGTGAGCCTCGAGCACAGTTGGGGTGGTCACTTCAGCGCTTTCGGTCCTGCAGCTGTTAGTGTAGACGGCCCGTGCACCGGATGCCATGGGTGGAGGAGGTGGTGCTGCTGGAGGCCTTGACTGGATTCGGTAAGTCTTCGTGTATTGCACTTGTAGTGTTTTGCACGTGTGCAAAGAGTGACAAGCTGGTGTAGTGTTGTGTAGTTCTTTTATGTTCTTTTGTTCGCTTTCGCTTCAAGTTTTCAGTTCGCTTCGAACGAGACCTTCTGCAGTCGAGCTCCGAGGCCCGAGTGAAGAAAAGCTTTTCAGCTACCCACTACTCCCGCCCGTGAGTCGCGCTGTTCGTACAGAACGAAGGTCGCGAAATTTGGACTGTAAGGGTAAGTTCGCAGACCAGAAACCGCTCCAAGACCTTCGGGTTGGGAGTAAAACAAGTCCGAGAGTCAAAGCGGGTTGTTTCGCTTCCGTAACGAAGTGTAGCTTGTCTCTCGAGGAGCTCCATACCGTTTTGTTTACCTGTGTTGACTCGGAAAGGAGTAGCCAGAGCCACGCTCCACCTCTCGCCGTTTTTTGGATGCCAGGGTGACCTTGTCAAATATGTGCCTGCTGCGAGCCTCCAGTACGGGGTGGCTACGCGTTTTTGACATGAACGCCAGAATCCCAAAAGTCAGAGGGAAGTCTCATGTCCTGAATCCCATGTCATACGTGTCGAAAACATTCGAAAACGCTAAGCAAGCATGTCGTGGTTCTGAGCCGAAAATCACGATCTTCCTCCTGACCTTCACGATGTTCCCATTCATCCTGGCGTCTGTGCTGCACACTAGTAGTCACTATAAAACTAGAAGACGAGTGGCCCGAAAGCATCATTAGCCATGAGTTTTGGAGCTATGTAATTGGAGACTATGTAACGTCACGGGGTCGAGTGTATAAAGTCTTAGAGGGCAGTGCGTGGAGTCAAGTACATA